CTGGAAATGCTCAGGTTTGAGAGCTTCTGCAGTGAGGTCTGCCCAGATCAGAATGTGACTCAACCAATCATGATGCTCACATAATATTTAATAGCATTGTTTAACTTATGTAACAATCAGAATTTTATGGGCACAGCTAGGTTGTCTAGGAAATGCAGTTCAAATGTCAATTGTTTTTACTGTAGAAAGGTAAAAGTTGAACTTCAATTCCCAGACTCGTAACTCATGACAACCTATACTTCATTATTATTGGAACATATGAGGAAACGCTAAAGCTCTGAGCCAGGGGGAGGATAAAAAGCTAAATAAAAACAAACAAAAACAAAAAACACCAGCATAACTACATGGAAGAGTAGCGTCAAACTATTTTAGTTCAAAATAATTTAGATTGGTATTCAATGTGACCTTGATTGGTATCAAACTATGTAATTTCAAAAAAAAAAAAATTACCTTCCATGTCTTGGCTATCCTTTAGATGTAGGGAGACCCTAGTAATATCCAAACAAGCCAAACCAAAATTTCTGAGAACACTAGGAATGTCCAAAAACATAAAGGTTTGTGTTATATATTGTTTCTAGGACTCTAGTCCACAGTATGAGGCTGTTTGCGAATCATAATGACATTTAACAGTTTTTAGTGTTGTATAACCGAATGCTCTCTGAAACCTGTTTGTTATAATTCGAGTGAGAGGAAGGGCATGGAAGCTGTAGTGGTTGTGGGCTGAGAGTGTCCCTTTAACACGTACCATACTACATATAGAAAAGGGGGTCCATTGTTACTCTCCCATTTGTTAAGTGAGAACCCTTTGGAATGCTGTTATTTACTTAGCTTACTTTACGTTGATCATGTGATATGGGGATTATGTGGACACATGCAAGTTCTGATTAATAACTGATTCAATTAACTTCTTATAGGGCACACAAAACAACATAAATACTATAGAGTCCCCAGGTGCAGTCCAGTGGTTAAAGAACAAACAGTTTGAGAATAGTTTCATATCAATCAAATATGTTCTCCTCTTCTACATTAACAATGTCAATTTTGTCCAAACTGGGCAGCGGTGGTTGGGGAAGAGTGCCTTGGGTGGATTAGTCCAGCATTCTACAATGTAATTACAGGACCCATCATTGTGACATGCTAAAGGAACTAAACTGGCTGTCGCTGGAATCCAGACGCACCCTTCATCTTTCCAGCCTTGTTTTTAAGAGCTTCTCTGGGAAACTCCCACCCTACCTGAACAAAATGCTTTCCTTAGCTGTTCCCACTTTCTATAAGCTCCGATCCAGTACAAGCACTTTACTTAGTCTACCTCAATACAAAAAGAAAGCGGCCCGATCCTCCTTCTCCTACAGAGCGCCGCAATTGTGGAACGACCTCCCGCACAATTTAAAATCTTCCCTAAGCCTAAAGTCATTTAAGAGATCCCTCTCTACATACCTCAAAACAGAATGCACGTGTCATGGTTGATTATATATTTCCTGCCTGTTCTATGTTAAATTTTGTATATATTGTGTATTAATATTGTTTTTGTATTTTGTTGTACCTAATGTAACAATGCAATGATTTGTGGACCCAGGACATACTTGAAAACGAGAGAAATCTCAATGTATCTTTCCTGGTAAAATATTTTATAAATAATAAATATTTTATAAATAATTCTCAGCCAATCAATTTTGTCATGGTTGGTGAAATTAACATTTCTAATAAGTAAGAGTTATTTGAGATGCATATCTGAAATGATGATGGCCCCCGGGTACAGAGATATCCCTGTTTACAGTAAACCATTCCTAAACAGTTTGATTTTAAACAGGGGGACAGTGCCATGGGATCCTGGACAGCGTGAATTCTACAGTAAGCTATAGTGATTCCATTGCTTAGACTGTCCCTTTAATTCTACTCAATCCTGCAGGATATAATGGAAGAAGGATCAGGTTGAATGCAGTGGGATTTCTTTAAATCAATGGCTACTTCAGTGATTTGAAGTGGTTACGGTGGCAAGAATTTGTATGCACAGTGTGTCTGCTTGAAACAGTGCACATGCAGAGAAATCTGCACTTTTGTGCCAGGGGCTCATTGCACCCCCAGCACACGCTACTTAGGCAGCCTGAAACTCTGTTTCTATCTGTCATCAGTGCACAGGGGAAGCACTGGACTACCCACCCTAATTAAAACCCTTGCGCTTCTCTATAACCTTCATTACTTTTTAAAATAAATGTTTCCTCCTTCTCACTCTCACACCATCCCTTTCTTTACTGGCCCAGAACACGTGCATGTGCTTTAAGCTGAGTAAACAGTCCAGTCATATGCTTCTCTATGTGAAGCATAAAATTGGACCTCACAACGACTCAGTTGATATCAGATGGGGAGTGGGAAGCGGGCACTTGATTCCAGATAAATCTAAGTTTAATTTCACATAGAATTTTAATTTAAGGGAGGGGCTGCTTAAGAATATTGCCCAATAGGTACAACATGTTCAAAAAATCATTGGAGTAACTCTTTAACTTTCACAGCTTAATAATAAGAAGCCAAATACAAATTTTAAATAAACTAAAAAAGGAATTAAAAAAAAAAAATCTAAGCAAATATACCACTATTTAGTAGTCAAACATCAGATCATCTATTAGCCATAGGCATTTATTATGATCAATCATCAGCAAAAAACAAAACAAAAAGTGATGCAGAATTATTTCATGGATAAAAGGAAAAGATTAAACGGCAGAGATTCGGAAAATTGCTTTCATATTCCAGCCGTGCAAGAGAAAGAGACATCTTGTTGATGATTTTCCTGTGCTGAAGAAAATATATGACTACTGCCACAATCCTGTCTTTTGGTGCTTTGTCACTTACAAGTAATGGTGAAATTGCAAAGAGAAGACTTTTTAATCTGTCAGGTCATTGTCTGCACCCCTGACATCACTTTTTCTTTACCATCATATACTCTAAATAAAGTGGACGTTTTTATTTAGAAAATGCATCTTAGGGTTGGATTTTGCAGTGAACTTACTAATGTTAGCTTTGGTAATGTTACCTGTGCAGTGCTTGCTAAGAAATATAAATTTAAAGAAAAACTCTACTTAAAGTTATCATTTTTTTAGATGCCTCTGTTCCTTAATCACTTTAGATCATTGGCTCCCCCAATTTGAAAACAAATGTTTAATATCACCATAATACTTACTTTTATACCCGAACTGAGAGGGTTTCCTCACTGCAGACCAATCCGCCCTAACTGAACTAATTTTATTAAAGGACACGGAGGCCCATATTAGGATTTATCTCTTTCTTTATTCTTCAGCAGCAAAGAAAGGATATTAAGGCATTAATAGAAAAACAAAAACAAATACAGTGGGACCTCGGTTTACGAATTTAATGCATTCTCCGGGACGTTTCGTATTACGAAAAATTAGTAAACCGAAACACGCTTTCCCATAGGAATGCGTTCCGGAGGTGAGAAAAAAGTTAAAAAAAGTATTTTATCTCTTCAAAATTTTTTATAAAGTGCACTTTAAAGGCATAACAGTAACAATAAACACACAGTAAAAGGCATGCACAGCACATGAGCTGGCATTAAAACCATAGTAAAAGCCATGCACAGCACATAAACTGGCATGGAAAATAACCCCACAATGCAAAACACACAGTAACAGGCATGCACAGAACATAAGCTGGCATGGAAATCACCCCACAATGCAGAACACACAGTAAAAGGCATGCAAACAACTAAGCTCAGCTCCCTACCTTTCCACCTCTTGAGATGCACCAAAAAGGCTCCAAAACTTGCTGCAAATGGCTCCAAAAGCTCTCCAACGCCTCCACACACCACACTCACGTGCTACCCAGACTTCAGGATGAAGGGGGGCAGAGCTATAAACCGGGACATTTGTTTCGTATTGTGAAAAAAATTCGCAATTATTTTTTACGGATTCTCATTCGTAAACCAAATTTTTAGTTTACTGAGGTTCCACTGTAGCCTTAAAGAGTTAACCATATAACATATTCAACCAATGGGAACAGTCCTAGTTCCATATACTCCAATGTGACCTAAGCCACTCCCTCTTTCTTTGCTGCTGCCTCAGCTAAGTACCTCATAATTTTTGCTCTGCAGATTTGTGTTGTATTTTACTATTATACTGTATACTGTAATTGTCTGTGTTATCTATTTTGTATACTGCATGGTTTCTAATTTTCCCTTACAGGGTTTCTCACCTCTCCACTGGGGCAAGCCCTTACCACTTGCAATTTCGGGTTGTTTATAACCCGGTCCCACAGTTCGCAGGACGACCTCGGGGTGCATACCCTGTGTCCGCTGGTCCTACCAACCATAGTGGGGTAGAGGCAGAACTCTGAAGAGTTCCAATCACTCCTGAATGCTACCATGACCATTTACACAGCCATGGGAGTGATGTCAGACAACTTGTCCTACTCCATCTCTTCAGCTATCATGTCATCTGGCCGGGCTTCTGGCCCAACGCTCCCTGCGGCCTCTGATAATAAGTCAATGGTCCCCAGTGGCTGCAAGGCTACGAATAAATCCCACCATGTGGCTAAAAATACCTCCAAAAACTATTTGACAGACAGGTTGCGCCCTGTTGATATTGAGGACGTGGTGCTCCCACGTAAAAGAGCCACCCACCGTAAAAAGCGTTGCGGACTTGGAAGAGGGCAAAAGCCCTATCTGATTCGTCTGACTCTGATTCGGACTTGGAGGAGGTTTCGTACAGGTCCAATGCCATCGACCCAGTTTACTCGGAGGACTCATCTCCTGAAGGCAGTGACTGCGCCGCCAGCTATCGAAGCTAGGCGAGAGGCGGACGAATCCGCTATCTTAGACCCTCAAGGGGAACCCCTTTTTGACCCTGATGCCCTGCATAACCCTCGCTTGGCTGACTGGTACCCCACTGACCATGTGGCCAAATACATCGCAACTAGGGATAGAAAACCCGTAAATAAGGCCACTATAAGTAAACTCAGAGCAGAGTGCCCACGCCCTACGGCTCCCTGACATGGCCTGTGTTACACCGGACGTGGATCCTAAGATCACCCAGTTTCTGGGTAAATCGGATTGGAAAGCTAAAAAGGTACTAGACTATTCCCTGCGACACTGTCAGGACAAAGTCTTAGACGTGTTAGGGCCTGTAGCCAATATCTTCGACATGGTCAAAGCAGCCCTGACCGAGGGGACACCAATAGACCTGTTGGCCATCAGAGGATGGATCCAGAGGTCCATATGCTTGATAGACAATGCTCACACTGCGTTGGCCACTGAACAGCGCAAAGCCATCCTGATGAAAATTGAGCCAAAACTCCTCAATCTGGCAATATCTGAGCCTGGCACACAAGCAAAAGGTCTCCTGTTCGGAGAACTGGGCAAATACGGCACTAGACAAAGCACAAATTAATATGAAATGGGTGTTTTCCCAGAAGGCTTTCAGTGGGGCCGGCAGACATCGGGGCCGTCTGTCCCACTGCTCCTCCCGGACTTCGTACTGAGGCTATCGGGGCTCCACTTCGTACTGAGGCTATCGGGGCTCCACCACATCAAGGTTCCAACCTCCAGAACTCAGAGTACCATCACCGGTCTTCCCGACCAGGGCCAGGTCATGGCAACCCCGTGGATCCAGGGGATCCTCCTATGGCCGTTGGCCTTATAGTGAGTTATTTCCATCACACACCCTTTCTCTGTCATATGTGGGGGGCAGACTCTCCCATTTTTTTCCCCACAAGACAAAGGCCTAGTATCAGAGGAGTTTTGCAGATTAAAAGAGAACAATGCGATCTACGAGGTTCCGACTACCTCTCCCGGTTTCCTGAGCAACATATTCTTGGTTTCCAACATATTCTACGTTTGTCACGTACCATCACCTCAAGATGGAAGGGATACACTGGGAGATTGGATGGTCAAACTCGATCTACAGGATGCGTACCTCACGATTCCGATCGCCAAAGAGTGTCAACACCTCCTTCAGTTCCGATGGGAAAAGACTATGTGGTGCTTCCAATGCCTCCCGTTTGGCCTATTCTCAGCCCTGTGGTGTTTCACCAAGCTGCTGAAGCCGGTGGTCGCCCTTCTACGCAGCAGAGTCCGTATGATCATATACCTCGACAACATGCTGATCATGATGCCCAATTACTGAGTCAGCATCTCTCCTGGGCGCACTCCCTCCTTCAAAATCTAGGTTTCTTAATTAACTGGGACAAATCAATCCTGCATCCTTCCCGCACAATGGAGTTTTTGGGATGCAACATAGATGCAATTCACGGAACGCTCAGTTTACCTACCACAAAAGTGAAACTCATCAAGAAGGAAATTCGGTGGACGCTGGCACGACCGGTCTTGACCTTGCGACAACTCGTGAGGATAATCGGCCTTCTCTCAGCCTCCATACAAGCAATCTTTCCAGGGACCCTCCACTACAGGGCCCTACAACAGCTCAAAGCCGCGGACCTACGCTTGGGTCAGTCTTACTCCTATTCTGTTCCACTAGATTGCTCGGCAAAAGAAGAACTCACCTGATGGCTTCAACACATGGAAGCATGGAACGGCAGGGTAATCTTCAGAACCACCCCGGATTTCATCATAGAATCCGACGCAAGCAGACCCGACTGGGGTGCGCATTGTGTTCCAACCTCTACGGGTGGAAAATAGTCATCACAGGAAAAGGAGCTACACATCAATGGTCTGTAACTCCTAGCGGGGTCGTTCGCCCTTCGGAGCCTTCTCGGGGGCACAACCAATTGTTCTATCCTACTTCGCATGGACAATATCTCGGCCTTCCGTTACATCAACCATCTGGGTGGCACGAGATCCACCATACTCACGAACATAGCGAAAGATTTTTGGCACTTCTGCCTGGATTGCAACATATCGGTACAAGCGGAATACCTTCCGGGGTTATCCAACATCGCAGCAGATTGGAATTCCAGGCATCTACAAGACAACAGTGCCTGGCGACTGAACCACACAATATTCCTGCAGCTCCAACAACTCTGGGGCCCTATGCACATCGACCTCTTTGCCTCCCAATCCTACTTCGCATGGACAATATCTCGTCCGTCTGTTACATCAACCATCTGGGTGGCACGAGATCCACGATACTGACAAACCTAGCGAAAGAGTTTTGGCACTTTTGCCTGGATTGCAACATATCGGTACAAGCGGAATACCTTCTGGGGTTATCCAACATCATAGCAGATTGGAATTCCAGGCATCTACAAGACAACAGTGCCTGGCGACTGAACCACACAATATTCCTGCGGCTCCAACAACTCTGGGGCCCAATGCACATCAACCTCTTCGCCTCCCGGTTGAATTTTCAACTACCGTCATTCTTCAGCTGGAGACCAGACCCAGACGCACTGGCAGTGGATGCCTTCCTCCAACCCTGGCCAAACAAATGGCTCTATGCATTTCATCCCTTCTCTCTAATAGCTCGGACCCTACTACATCTAAAACGCTCCCGAGTGTCACTGGTACCGTTCTGGACGGCACAGCCTTGGTTCCCTTCGTTAATGGAAATGTCTATCGACCTCCCCAGACTAATCCCGGAATCCATGGACCTACTATCAGATCCCGATGGGAACTCTGACCCCCTTCTGGTTCAGGGGCACCTCAGACTTCTGGCGTGGCTCCTCTCTGGGGACCTTGGGTCATGCCGAACGTTTCACAAGCAACTCTTGACTTATTGGCAGGACCTTGGGCTCCATGAACAAGAAAATCCTATACTCATGCCTGGAACACCTGTAGTAGTTGGTGCATGGAACAACATGTGGATCCCATACATGCTTCTGTAAACCATATCTTGAGTTTCCTTACTGCCCTGTATGACCATGGCTTGGCCTACTGCACGATAAATGTATATAGATCGGCAATCTCAGCTGGTCATGGCGGAATGGATGGCTCAACGTTAAAAGATTACTATTTTCGTCCAGCCGAACACATCTCTTCTATGGTTATCTCACAGCTTTAATCTAGCCTAATATGAGCCTCCGTGTCCTTTAATAAAATTACCAGATTTTACTAATTACATGAGGTAAAGTCATGATTTTATTAAGGACACAGAGGCGACTATTAGCCCATCCAGAAGACAGGTAAGTCGTACGTTTTGTCTTCCCACCCAATTTCGACAGCATGTATGATTTGACTTGAATTTAGTGTGGGTTACCGAATACTACCGATTTTGTTTCTTCGCTGGACTCACGATGACATGCTCAATTTTACAAGTTTTTAACTCTCACAGATACAGTCTTTGAACTTATTTTACCACCTGTTTCTCTGTCTCCTACAGCTTGAACTTTTACAATGGGTCAATCGGGACCGATTTTCTTCTCTTGCAATGGAGAATGCTCCCTAGAACCATCTACCATCGGATTATGTCTTCGCATCTTTCGGATGTTGAAATCCTGGTCATGTCGAGTCAGTTGTTCATGTCGGTTGTTTGTCGTTGACTTTTTTGGCTTTGGCATCATCAAGAAAGAGGGAGTGGCTTAGGTCACATGGGAGTATATGGAACGAGGACTGTCCCATTGGTTGAATATGTTATATGGTTAACCCTTTAACCCCTTAAGGACACATTGCATCTGTGACATGTCATGATTCCCTTTTGTTCCAGAAGTTTGGTCCTTAAGGGGTTAAGGGTATTTGTTTTTGTTTTTCTATTAACACCTTAGTGTCCTTTCTTTGCTGTTGAGGAATAAAGAAAGAGATAAAGCCTAATACTCGCCTCCATGTCCATAATAAAATCATGACTTTACGTCATGTAATTAGTAAAATCTGGTAATTAATCTTGTTGACTTATGTCCAATCAAATGCTTCTCACAGAAATGCTTAGTGGACATACAGAAAGTGCTTCACTATGAGATACAAGGGGAGGAATATAATCATTATGATACAGGGTGCATAAAGAAAGGAAAGATGTATGTATGCTGTGCTGAACATCAGGACAACTAAGACCATGCCCAAATGGATTCTGAAAGCACTCTCGTCCGTGGTTTGGCCTGATTGGGGCCTGCCAGGGAAGCTGACACGCCCCTTCTTCAGGTAGCTCTACCTCCTGTCCAGGTGTGACCACCCCTTTTGGGCATCACTAGTGGTGAAAAGCATATAGACCTGTCAGGGCATTATGCAACAATAGCTACCCAATCACTAGTTTGGAGTAGTACTGTGAGCATTAAACCTCCCATATACTAATGTGGGGGTCATATTGACTGCCATAGGCTTTTTAAAAACTATTTGCCTGCTTGCTGCTAGTGCTGCCCACGATTAGTGGTCGTTAGTCTCTCGAGTGGCACCTGTAGTCATTTCAATGCAAATAGCTGTCGCACAGGACTGTAACTCCTACTTATCTCTGTCAGCACTGGGACAAGAAGAGTCCTCCCTAAACTCCTACACTACCCTAATATTCTAAATGAAACACTAAAAATTAACCGATCACACTACACTACACCTTAGCCCCTACATCATCATAACACACTAAACAGTTAGTAAACATTAACCCTTTAGTACCTTTACACTTACACTAAAGTAAAACTATCATGTAATATAAGATACTTAATCGTGACGTGTGTATTAAGGAAAATAAAGCCATCTCAAGGTTCTGGATAAATAAATAAAAATAAATATATATACACATTGTGATCCTTGTCAGCAGGTAGCACGGTCCTCTAGGGCAAAATCATGCACAGTCCTTGTAATTCATATGCTCCAGGCACTTTATTTGTAAGTTCACACAGGATACAGCAGTAAAATGAAAACATAAATGTAACAGAAAACCCTATAAACAAAAACCTAGCTCGGTCTGAGCACTAACTCACTTTAGGTTCCCTATCTCTCAGGGTTAAACTAAACAAAACAATATTGCACCAACCTTATTAGAGAGCAACACTCTGCTAGCTAGCCTGTTGCTCTCCTTTCTGCACTCCCAGTGCTCCAAGCCAGCCTTGCCCTGACTGCTTTCCTTTCTGCACTCCCAGTGCTCCAAGCCAGCCTTGCCCTGACTGCTTTCCTTTCCGCACTCCCAGTGCCTCCAAGCCAGCCTTGACTGCTTCCTTCTGCACTCCCAGTGCCTAGTCTCTTTGACTCTATCTGGAGAGATCAGCCTCTCTCCTACCTGCTTCCTGGGAGGAAGCCAGCAATCCCTCTCCTTTACCTGTCTAGCAGGGAGGAGTTTATTCCCACTGCAACAGCTCATTAACTGCAGCTGAGCAGTGGGTTGGAGACGATCCAAAAAACCCTGGCCTGGATCCATGTCTCCCCAGAAAACCACTAAACTGTGGAGTGGAGCATTGGCCCACCCTTCTCTCCAAATGCTCCACCCCAGGGGCCCATAACTAAACAGTGTTTTGTGTTGTGCAACACACAAACTACACTTTCTTCCCCTGGGGTTAAAAGGCCTATCTGCCT